CACATAATGTGGAATTGTAATACAAAAAGCGATCTGCTCCACATGGTGTTTTTCAAACGGGGAGATTAACCTGCCACACCTCGTGCACAGATACGTCGTCTTGTACATAAAAAAACTGTTAACACAATCCATCTTTCGCGAATTTCAAATGTACAAGGGTTTGAAGCGAGCGATTAATTTTGTTAATACCAGTTTGTCTCGAGCGAACGCCTGGTGATAGAGCGGTGTGGTAAATTGGCTGTGTTGAACACAGTTTACAATGGAACGGAATAGGCTGTCAGATTCCATGAAGTTCCAGATTTGCTTTATGTCCAGTACGATGCTAAAAGCATAGTCTATTCAGGAACCCTTGATTCACATATGGACAAAATCTATCATTCCATAAGCAAGAGTACATATGACCTCTCAAAAAAGTAATTTCTGATTCGAAAATGGAACTGTATTGAGCAAAATAACATGTATTTATGTCAACGGATCCTTTCCATTCAAAGTCAGAAAACATCCTCAGTAGTAAAACTGAATATATGACAATTTATTGGATAACTTCTTTTTATTTCTTATCACGGCGTTTCAGAGCTTATTCTTGGGGTTGAGGGGTTTTGTTTTTTTTTGTGTGTGTGTGTGTGTGTGTGTGTGTGTGTGTGTGTGTGTGTGTGTGTGTGTGTATGTGTGTGTGTTTGCAAAGACAACAATATACATACTCTGTGCACTGAAGATTTCATGTATTCATGTTCGTCCAACTTCTAAATGCCTTTCAAGGAGCTTCCACTATGTACACCCTTCTGATGGCTTGACTTGTGCACACCGTTCTGATGACATGGCCTTAGCAGAATGTTCTGATAGCTTCACCCATGTACATCAATCATTCAATCCATAGGGCCTGCCTATTCAAACCCTTTTGATATCTGGGGACCTTTTCTAAACATCATCCTGCTGAACATAAGCTTGAAGCACTATCAGTTAGTAAGGGGAACAAGGACACCCACAACAGCCACAGTCCATATTGTGGACCTGTCATATGACAGGTTCATTGGAGACTCCAGTATACATACTACTCAAAAATATACTAGCCACATAAAGAAACTGTGCATTGTCAAAATATTATCACAGTTGATAAGTACGATAACAATGTCAAAGGTACATATAAGCTTTAATGGAGGGATCACGAGACCATAACAAGTCGGGCGAATTTGAATTGAAAAGTCAATCACAGTGACGTCACGAGTCCACAAGCGAGACAGGGGTCAAACGACCATGTCACAAGCTCAATAACGGGTATGTCCACCACCGGCATTGAGAACAGCAGTGCATCGACGACGCATAGAGCCTATCAAACGTGCAAGGAAGGCTTGAGGGGTGGTCACGTGGACGTTATCTGGCGGATGAGGAAGACGGCGTAGACGTCGATCCATCTCGTCCCAAACAAGGGGCGGTGGTGTAGTCTAGTGGTTAAAGCGTTGCCTCGTCACGCCGAAGACCCGGGTTCGAAACCCCACATGGGTACTATGAGTGAAGCCCATTTCTGGTGTCCCCCGCCGTGATATTGCTGGAATATTGCTAAAAGCGGCGTAAAACCAAACTCAGTCAGTCAGTCAGTCGTCCCAAACATGCTCTATCAGGGAGAGATCCGGTGAATTTGCAGGCCAAGGCAGTAAGTCAACGTTGTGGTGTTGCAAGAAATCCATAGCAACCCTTGCCGTATTAGGGCGGGCATTGTCCTGTTGGAATGTTAACCCAGGGCCATGACGTTGCAGAAAAGGAATTGCCACAGGTCGAAGAATCTGATCCCTGTAGCCCACACCAGTTAAGTTGCCCTGAACAATCACCAAAAGAGTTCTTTGGCGTGCTGTTATTCAACCCCAAATCATCACGGAACCACCACCAAAGCGATTCCTCTCCAAGACACAGGCCTGTGCATAACGTTCTCCCACGCGTCTATAGGCACGTTGACGTCCATCACTATGGGAAATGTTAAACCTGGACTCATCTGTAAAAACAACATTTCTCCACCAAAACAAGGGTCTGCGGACATGATTTCGGCACCACATTCGGCTAGCTTGTCGATGACGTTGTGTCAGGATAGGCCGTATGGCGGGACGTCGTGGTCTGATCCCGTGATGACGTAAACGATGTCGAACTGTGTTGGGGTGGATACGACGAAGTCCTGGGATGGTTCGGGCAGTCATCACTGCAGTCTGAAACCTGTGGCGAAGATGGGTCACCCTTATCCATCTGTCCTGTCTTGGCGTTGTTACACGTGGACGTCCAGAACGTGGCCGATCGATGACGTCATTTGTGTCCTGGTAGCGTCTCACCAGTGCAGAAATGGTGTTCCGGTGGCAGTGGAAATGTGCAGCCACTTGCCGTTGAGACATTCCCCCACGGACCATCCCAATGGCCTCATGACGTTGTGCAGACGTGAGCCTTGGCATGCTATGCGTTTCAATAGCCGTTTAATGTTTTGAACGATCGCAAGGGCAGGGGTTGAGCTTTCCAAAGTGACAGTATTGTGTGGCATTCATTTGCTCTGTTTCTCTTTCCCGGAATGCACGTGTAACAATGTATTGTACGTCTCAAGGACGAACCCACTGACGTCACGGAACGTGGCATGTGCATGCATGTTGGATACATGTCACTAATCTCTGAGTTTAAATCCTTATGTGTCTACACAGGTTTGATAAATTTAGATTTTAAATTTTTGTATGCACAGTTTCTTTATGTGCCTAGTATAGAAACACACTGATGAAAATGGACATGTATTTATGCACGCAGGTTTGAGTGTGATACAGGACTGATAAAGAAAACACTGTTAAACATGTATTGTCCAATGGAAGTAGAGGTGGGATGTAACAAATGACATGTGCAGAAAGGTCAAGGTCACAGAGCAGTCAGTATCTTGGACGTGACTAAGATTGGTTCTTCCACTGGATGAGATGCCTGTCCAAACCATAACACTCACACCAATACATCTGTCCACTTCCTGTATGCAATTGGGAGCATTAGAGTTCATGACGCCATCTGTACAGACGTGCTGGACGACCCCGGAGCATATACCGCGACTCATCACTGAACACTACAGTTCTCCACCTTTGTAATGGCCACTGAAGATGGTTTCGACACCACTGTCTACGTTGTCGTGTAAGGATAAGTCCCCGCAAAGGTCTCCTAGGACGAATACCAGTCTCACGAAGGCAGTTCCTGTCAGTTTGGTCCGAGATTGTTCAGAGTCCTGGCACTACAGATGGTGTAGAGGATGTGGTCGTGAACCTGTTCTGTAAGTGACGGAGACAGATAAAACCTTTCCTGGGCGGATGTGGTCAACCGCGTCTTTCTGACCGAGGATAATCATGTGTCGTACCATGCTGCTGGTGCCCATGCCTTCCTATGGTACACTAGGACACATTAAATTGCCTTGAAACTGTTGACTGTGACTCACCAGCTTCCAAATGACCAATTGCATTGTTGTGCTCTGCATGACTTCACCTCAAGATTTACATTTGTCAACTGCCGCCAAAACAATCAGACCCCCGAGATTTTGTTGCAAATGTTGCATGGATTGTGCATGCAAAAAAGAGTGCATGAATCGCATTACATTCATGCATCTTTACCTTTAACGAGAAAAACAGATTTGGTTGTGTTTTGGCGACAGGTTTGGCGAATGGCAATGGATTTAAACTCGGAAATGGTTGGAGAAAACATTCACCATAGACATTCAGATTATATACACACTTATGATTCATTTTCGAAAAAACATGGAAAAATACTGGCTATGATTTTCATTTTTGGAGAAGTATATTTTACCAAACTTAAGTAATTAAGTCAGACTTGGCAACATGGATAATTGCATGTCATCATGTTCAACAATGTCATATGACAGATTGTATCAATCAGTGTTTCCGTCTCTCTCCCTCAAGAACAACAGTTAGTGAGTTATGTTACAGGTCATTTGACCAGTACTTCTGTAATATCACTGACAGCATGTAGGAGGGATGCTGAAGTCATGCAGGTCTTCCACGTATAGGTGAAACACTTTAGCACAGGTCTGATGCACAATAACAGCAGTATATAGCAGAAGGAAGCAGTTTATTATCCACTAGTTTTGTCACTACTTTGTACAAACAAACCACTGTTGTGGGAATAATTATTTTCATTTCCATGAACGGTGACAGAATTTTATGAATATGCTGGTTGGTTGAAATGATATCAAATGTAACTTTATACATCAACAAAATACAAACCAAAGACAAATCTAATGTCACCTGGACCTATCATGTATCAGATCTTTTGCACATAGAGGACAAGATAATTTCGGAAATCAAAGCTAATTGCTTCATCAGAAAACATCATTACTCTCATGTTTCACAAAACATCTATATGTGAATGGATCTATAATGAAAAACAATTTTGACATGATTGTTACCAAAAATGTGTGCAGCTGTTTGGTAATTACTATGACATGACAGGTCGATATCAATATAAGACCTAAACCAGCATCACACTGACGACTGGATCTTCACCCCAGGCTAACAAAACACTCTGTCCTGCAGTTGGGAGTGAGATGGGTTCAACAACCCTCAACAATATTTCAGCTAAACCAGAACCAGTTGGTATGAAGTGGTAGAAAAGCCAAAAGCGACACTTACACTTTCACAAGTTCAGTAAAACAGACAAGTATGGGTATAGTGCTGCAAACCAAGACTCATAATCAGGATGAATCTCAGATTCAACCACAATCAGAAGATTCAGGCACACCCAAAGGGATACAACTCTGCACAGAGAATCCTGGAACTTGCGACATCATGGCTATTTGTGTCTCATCCAGTAATGATGCAGATGAAGGTCTGTGTCAGGCAGTCTTGTTATGTATGAAAGTGAACTGTAGCACAAAGCACACTTATCATCAACCTCAACGAGATATACAGCAACACACGACGCCCGAATAGCAGCCAGTTAATGTCCGACATGTTGCAGGTTACCAATGATACTCAGTCAATGGTCAGCTAATGGTCTGCATAAGACTGGTTAACAGCACCAGGTTCACCATGAGCTCCTGCAGGGCCAGGAAGATGACCCAGATTACTAATGACACCTCCCATACAATGGTCAGCTAATGGCCAACATGAGGCAGGTTCTGTACAGGCAGCACCAGGCTGACGATGAGCTCCTGCAGGGCCGGGAAGATGACGCAGATTACTAATGACACCTCCCATACAATGGTCAGCTAATGGCCAACATGAGGCAGGTTCTGTACAGGCAGCACCAGGTTCACCATGAGCTCCTGCAGGGCAGGGAAGATGACCCAGGTTACTAATGACACCTCCCATACAATGGTCAGCTAATGGCCAACATGAGGCAGGTTCTGTACAGGCAACACCAGGTTCACCATGAGCTCCTGCAGGGCCGGGAAGATGACCCAGATTACTAATGACACCTCCCATACAATGGTCAGCTAATGGCCAACATGAGGCAGGTTCTGTACAGGCAGCACCAGGCTGACGATGAGCTCCTGCAGGGCCGGGAAGATGACGCAGATTACTAATGACACCTCCCATACAATGGTCAGCTAATGGCCAATATGAGGCAGGTTCTGTACAGGCAGCACCAGGTTCACCATGAACTCCTGCTGGGCCGGGAAGATGACCCAGGTTACTAATGACACCTCCCATACAATGGTCAGCTAATGGCCAACATGAGGCAGGTTCTGTACAGGCAGCACCAGGTTCACCATGAGTTCCTGCAGGGCCGGGAAGATGACCCAGGTTACTAATGACACCTCCCATACAATGGTCAGCTAATGGCCAACATGAGGCAGGTTCTGTACAGGCAGCACCAGGTTGACCATGAGCTCCTGCAGGGCCGGGAAGATGACGCAGGTTACTAATGACACCTCCCATACAATGGTCAGCTAATGGCCAACATGAGGCAGGTTCTGTACAGGCAGCACCAGGTTCACCATGAGCTCCTGCAGGGCCGGGAAGATGACCCAGATTACTAATGACACCTCCCATACAATGGTCAGCTAATGGCCAACATGAGGCAGGTTCTGTACAGGCAGCACCAGGTTCACCATGAGCTCCTGCAGGGCCGGGAAGATGACCCAGGTTACTAATGACACCTCCCATACAATGGTCAGCTAAAGGCCAACATGAGGCAGGTTCTGTACAGGCAGCACCAGGTTCACCATGAGCTCCTGCTGGGCCGGAAAGATGACCCAGGTTACTAATGACACCTCCCATACAATGGTCAGCTAAAGGCCAACATGAGGCAGGTTCTGTACAGGCAGCACCAGGTTCACCATGAGCTCCTGCAGGGCCGGGAAGATGACCCAGATTACTAATGACACCTCCCATACAATGGTCAGCTAATGGCCAACATGAGGCAGGTTCTGTACAGGCAGCACCAGGTTCACCATGAGCTCCTGCAGGGCCGGGAAGATGACGCAGTGAGCGGAGTTGGGGTTCATGTCCATGTATCTCTTCAGCATCATGTTGACAGCTGAGATGGTCTGACTGTGTGGTGTGTTGGGCATCACTTGCTGCTGCTGACCAGTGGTGTTGCGGATGTCCAGGTGGGTGACGGTGTTGGAGCCGATGTCGTAGAACAGCGGGATGATCAGCGATGGTGGCTCTTTCCCAATCGGCAACGACAGATTCAGACGTGTGAGCTGCAACTATACACAAAGATAAATTAACAGGCTTTCCATTGTCACAGACTGAAGGCTATGGTAGTGAGTGAATTTAGTTTTACAGCACTTTTAGCAATATTCCAGCAATAACACTGCAGGGACACCAGACATGGGCTTGACACATTGTACCCAAGTGGGAAGGCTATGGTAACAGATTTTGATGGTACAGAAGCACAAAAAGACTACAGGAAGTCATTTAGAACTGCAATTTTCAGAACACCTCACAACATCTAGCAATACGCATCTGTACATGGAGAGATGATCACTCATCTCAGTATATCACTAAAATGGTTTCCATTCTTCATAAAAGTTACATTAAGTCTGTTTTCCTACATCTCACTGTTGCCAAGTATTAGACCAGCATGTATTTCCAGTAAACTTGTTTGTATCTAAGTACTTGCTCCAACAAAAAATATTACATGATGAGATATTCCCTTTCACTAAATGCCCAAAGAAGAAGAGACTTGTAAATCTACCAACCATGAGCACCATCTTGCCCTTGACGAGGTTGATGACGATGGCCGGGGTACCAGCAGGGGCATTGATGATGTGGCCGGTACCTGGAGGGATGGTCAAGCACCACTGAACTGACCACTTCAAGTTGCGATCAGGCATCTGCAGGGGAAAAACAGAAATAGGACCATGTATAGAGTTTTCGAAAATAGTCACCCATACATCCAGTGATAATCACTTTACAGGAACCCGTGAAGGTCCCGGGTTAGAATTGGTCTTCAGTAACCCATGCTTGTCGTCAAAGGCGACTATGCTTGTCGTAAGAGGCGACTAACGGGATCGGGTGGTCAGGCTCGCTGACTTGGTTGACACATGTCATCGATTCCAAATTGCGCAGATTGATGCTCATGCTGTTGATCACTGGATTGTCTGGTCCAGACTCGATTATTTACAGACCGCCGCCATATAGCTGGAATATTGCTGAGTGCGGCATAAAACTAAACTCACTCACTCACTCTCTTTACAGGATAATGTCTGAGACGATACACAACTATATCATGGAAGCTTGTAGGTAATACGGCTGGTACAAAATAGCTTTATCATGGCGGTCTGTGAGTAACATCTCAACAGCTCTACCCTCACGTAATCTAAGACAACCTACAGCCCTGGTACAAGCAAATGTGTAACATCACACAAGCTCTACCCTACACAATCTGACTTACGCAACCTACAGCCCCAGTAGAAGGACATGTATAACATCTCACCAGCTCCATCCTCATGATCTGGATACAGTCCTTCAGGATGAGGGTGGGTGCTCCTAGGAGGCGGCTGAACGCTGTCAGGGCGTTGATCTTGTACGGAGGACCAGCCACCTGTGGAAAGACAGTGAATCAGTCATCAACATGTCATGGTACTCTGTCCATTTGCCATTACTTCATCACAGACAGAAGCATAGTATCATAGATGCACTGAAATGCTGGCACTAGTTGGATTACCAAGTCGCTGACAAGTACATGCACATAACATAGCCTACCTTCAACTCAAAGAACTTCTCCAGAATCTGCAGCTCTTCTGGTGCCCAGGGGTCTTTACAGTCTGTAAGTAGAACAACTGTCTTGTACATTCTGTCTACTTGCCCTAATTACCATGCGTCACAGTATAAGCCATGAGTGATTGACCGATTGTGTGACTAAGTAAAATTTAGCTAAACCTGTAGAGGTTTCCAATTCTTTAAAGAGAATTGTCCTTGGGGTACATATATGCATTTTCTGCATTGAAAATGTCATGTGACAGTTGTATCAATGTTTTAATAAAAATATTGTCTATTTTATCTATTTTACGGCCCCCACCACATGGAGTTACCTCCCTGCTACGCATGCGCAGCCAACCAGGTAAGCACCTAGGCCCTAGGCTGCTGAATAAATCAGTGAACAGAATTGTGGGGAGGTGGGTGGCCCTACCCCAAGGACAATTCTCTTCAAAGAATTGGAAACCTCTACAGGTTTAGCTAATTCTTTTTCATAGAGATCGTCTTTGGGGTACAAATATGCATTAACAGAGACTCCCAAAGACCGGAGGCTAGGGAGGAGGGAATTCTGTCAAAGTACACATAAATAGCGATCGTTAGGAAGAATTAATAGACGCTACAACACTCACCTGTCACGTGTCCTGAAGCTTCCGCGAGAGGCATGATGGGAGGGTAACCGACAGGGAGGAAAGTACTGAGACCCGACCTCACAGGTTAAGCAAAGCAAGTCGCACACAGTGCGAAAGTATAAAACCCAGCCCACATCGTGAATCTATTAAAGAGCACCGTAAGGGGAAAACAAACTCACAACCGACTATAATCTCCTGAGAGAAATCGAAAGTAGATAGATATGATAACAGTGGATATATCAATTATACACAATTGAAAGCAGCGTCATCTGTCCAAATCGGTCCACGAGAATGTGTATCAAGCTGATAGTGCCTTATAAAAGAGCTAGGCCTGCTCGAAATAGCGGCAGAGCATATCTCTTCAATGGGCAGTGCCGATGCAAAAGCCTTTGAAATGGCCACTGCCCTGACCGAGTGAGCCTTCAACCCCTCAGGGGGAGGCTTGCCCTTAGCCTGATAAGCAGCACAAATGACCGATACAAGCCAGCGTCATAGGGTCTGTTTGCTCGCCTGGCAACCCAGCCTTCCCGCCACCGTAACAGCAGAACAGATGGGTAGCCATACGCATCCCTTGTGTTTATTTGATATAGACCTCGAGGGTCTTACGGACATCCAACGGTCGAGTGCTCGTTGCAGAGGTCCCCGATGTAGAAGGCTGGGTAAGAGCAGGAAGTTCGATAGGAGCTGTCACATGGAAAGCGTGATTGATCTTCGGACGGTAAGTATCCGGGAGCCGAATACTGACACGATCTGGATGGAACACAGTCAGCGCCCGGTCTGCCAACATAGCATGTAAGTCGCCAACCCTTCGCCCATATGTTACCGCCACCAGAAATACGGCCTTCCATGTTAACAGCTGAATGGAAATAGCCGATAGACGTGAGAACGTAGGACCGGACAGCCAATCTAGCACAATTGACAAATCCCAAGGTGGGCTGGTTCGCCTGAAAGCAGGTCGAACCCGATCCACGCCAGCTAAAAAGCGCTGCATAAGAGGATGCTGCCCCAGTAGAGCACCATCGACAGGGGTGTGGAAAGTGGAAATAGCGGTGGAGTAGCCACGAATGGTCGAAGCCGCCAAGCCTTCTTCCAAACGAGCTTGCAGAAACTCAGACTAAATCCGCAGAAAAGGGATCTGCAATCCACCTATCTGAACACCAGCGCGCATAGCGGGACCACCTATCCTCACATGAACGTTTGTCGAATCCTGCCTCGAAGCCAGAATTGTGTCTGCAACTGCTGCAGGAATTACGCATGCTTCGAGGCTAGACCTGACAGAAGCCAAGCCACCCACTGAATCCTTGGATTGGGGTATGGCACACCGTTCTGAGTGAGAATGAGTGAGAATGTCCGGTCGCAAAGATGCTAGAACATGAGGCTGTACATCTGGGAGAAGGGGACATAGCGGTGCCAGTAGCAAAAGTATCTGAGCTGCCTGGGTGGACAGCTGGGAGAGGACCCGGGGAAAGAGTGGTAGAGGCGGAAACGCCCACAGCACCTTGCCCTGTCCAATCCAGCAGGAAGGCATCGGAAGCCAAGGCCCTCTGGTCCAGTAATCGAGAGCAAAACATGGGTCTCTGATTCGTCCCGCCGGACGCAAACAGATCCACCTGAAACGATCCGTACAACTGAGAGATAACTCTGAATATCTGCCGGTCAAGCATCCACTCGTGCGGGGCAAGGATCAGGCGAGAGAGAGTGGCTGCTCTCACGTTCTTCAGCCCCGGGAGATAAACAGGAATCACCTGACAGTCGCACTGGTCGCACCAGAGGAGAAATTCCCACGTCTGCTGAAGGAGCGTTAGGGACACCGTGCCGCCTTGCTTCAGGATGTACGTCATGGCCGTAGGGTTGTCTTCAACTGAAGCCGAACCACCTGGCCCTGAACATGCTCCCGGAAGCGCTCAATACCAACCGCACAGCTCTCAGTTCTAAGACATTGATGTGAAGGTGGGCCTCAGGGAAATGTAAGAGCTGGCATCCTGATTTCCAAAGGGACCCCCTTGGAGAGATTCCCCACATTGGTCCACCACTGAAGGTGAGGAGACAACCACCCGGGGACTGTGAGACACTTCTCCAGATCCTCCGAGTGAGCCCACAGACATGCCAAAGCATGCTGTATAGGGCGCATCCTCAACCGCGCCCGCCACACGACAGAGATAGTTGCCGCTATATGACCAAGTAGACGGAGCCAAGTCTGCGCTGGTGCCTGGGGCTGGGCCCGGTCGGGCGACAAAGAGGCAAGACCTTTGTGAGTTGTGAACGCGCCCCGAGAAAAACCAAGTCCTAGGTGGGTACCAGGTTGGATTTCTTGAGGTTTATGATCCACCCCAGTCAACCTTGAATGTCTATCACCGTGTGGGTAGAATCTAGGCTCGCTGGCTGATTTAGAGTGCTGAGCAACCAGTCGTCTAGGTAAGGGTAACAATGCCTTCCTTGTGACCTTGCGAGGCTAGCCGGCACTAACATGAGCTTGGTGAACACCCTGGGGGGCAGTGGATATGCCAAAGGGGAGCACCGTGAATTGGTAACACATCCCGTCGTAAGAGAACCGGA